GGGGGTTAATACTGAACGACGATACATTTCTCGCTGTCGGTAAAGCAGGAACGTTTTCAGTGAGCTTACTTACTACCTAAGGAATCGAATACGAGAGGACCACGCAGTATGTTACACGTGGAAAATCGATTTTCTGACCCCTGCCACATTTGTAGCGTTTTCTTGCGATAATACATCCGCGATTAGTTTTTAAACGTAGGGATTGCTGGTAACAGTATTGCCATGTTCAGGTATTTCTTCCTCGCAGAGCTTTTCCCCTAGATATGTAGGGAGGCTTTCGAACGAGCTCGGTCGATAAGATTGCTAACTTGTTGGCGAAGATTCGAACCGAATTTCATTCGATTGGACGAAACGAGAAAAGGATCAACAAAATAGTCTTTTCTTTCTTTCTTTTCTTTTTTTACTTCAGCAAAAAGTCTCGAATTGTTTATCCACCACGAAGAAATCCCTGGAGCAATGGCAACGGATCGCGAATGGGCCATTTTTGCACGTTTTTCGTGTCCCCACGTTCGAAAAAAGCATCGAAAAAACTGAAACTACGTGAAACCAGAGTAAACCGCTTATTGGCTGACCACTTCTAAGAGGCCTTGATATGTTCGATTGGAACCACCGTGTATTTTCACGAATTGTTTTTCGTCGATCTCGCATCCGAGGCGACGCGATACGAGTTTTTGAAACAACTTGCTTGATCAATCTCGTTCTACTTTTAATTACTTTTTTTTGTACGCTTGGCGTTCTGTAAATTATTGCCATCGCTTCTTTTTTCGCGAAGCACTCGAAGCTTTCCTCGAAACTTCAAAACAACGAAACGTCGTTTTTGTAATCGCATGATATGAGCCTTCGTATCTTCGAGTTAACAAAAAAAAAAAAAAAAAAAAAAAAAAAAAAAGAAGGGAGAAAATTGTGATAATTTGTACAAAGTGTTGTTGATAAAACGAGTAACATCTTACATCATACGGATATGTTTGATCTGCGAAACTCTCGACAGTGAATCGTGGCAGGTAGAATCGGGCAATTACATACGAAGACCCACGAGCGTAACTTATTGGAAGAAACAACTTATTCCTCGCCAACTCTTCTCTCTGCGTTTTACACACCCGGCATAAGAATTCGCTATTTTTTTTTTTCTTTTTCTACTCTTCCTCGTTATACATACACATCGTGATTATTCTTATCCATCTTGTCCACGAAGCACGGAAGTGTGCGCAAAAAAAAAAAAAAAAAAAAAAACATCGAAAGCAAACAATATAAACGATATATATATATATATACGAGTTAGGCCACACGAATGGTATCCCCGCGTGGAAAGCTGCCGAATATACGCGAGCCTAGTAATTTATGTACACTTGTGCCGAACGTAAATCGCGTAGAAACTCGGAAACGATCGCAAAGGTGTGCGTGTTTGGTGCCGCTTCGATTTCTGGTGCCCAAGGTACAAACGTAAATTTGTGCAACCGTTCCATTACGCCTGAGAACCTTGGAATCTTTCCTTATCGGTGGGACAGGTACTTTATAAGCAGCCGTCCATCGGCCGACCAAAGTCTTCCGTGCTTCGCGGAACAAAGGACAAGTACACGCACGCGTACACACACACACACACACACACACACACACACACACACACACACACACATATTCGATTCTGCCGTTCGTTTTTCCAAATCTCCTCGAAATCTCTTATTCGATACCTTCTTCGCATTAGAAGAGATTCGTTCGTTTCCTCTCGTGATTTTCACCGCGAATTAACATACATTTACGCGTTTTACATTTATTATTAGGGTTTCTCCTACGTTGCTTGTTATGTATAACGTGTATAATTTATACATCTCGCCCCGGATATATAAACCGTTAACCCCCCCCAACCTACACCCCTGTTTTTGAGCGACGTGCCCGTGGATCGTAAACTTTATACATTATTGCTTTGCCGATAACCACGTCACGTACCATTCGATCCAGCTCACGTTCGTCCTTTACCTGAAATTCGACTAATTGCACGGACGCGATCCGCCAAGTTTTTCGCGACCACGGTTTCCTTTCTAATTCTAGGAACGTTCCACGTGTCCGAAAAATATAAGGGAGAGGATATAAAGAATATGTCGATACATTTGAGACGCTATAAATGAATCCGTTAGTCGAGCTTCACTTTTTCGTATTGTGGATTTGTCGCGCCGTGGAGAATGAGTGTAATTAGTAAATCGAATTAAGGATTAATATTAGGAACTCAAACGTATTTAACGAGGTGATTGTTATCAAATATCGTATTCGTCTAAATTATTACTAAATTCTTTCTTATTATTATTTTTGAATCTTATATTTTTTTATGTAATATGATATAAATCAATTTTCAATCGTTGTAAAATGTACAAATTGATTTATTTATGAAAAGAATTAAATCGAATCTATGAAAAAGAAGAGTTAAGATTTTTCGATATTTTTAAAGGACTCTAAAGATCGTATATGGAATAAAAAGAAATTCTTTCCAGATTAGAACGATATATTTTCGAACGAACGCGAGCTGGAATCTTCTTCAACCACTTCTTCACACTTTTTACAGAGGCGCGCGGATGCACGCACAATTAATTCCACGCTAAATTTTCGAATCTCTCCCATTCTCGCGTCGTTTCTTTTCATCCTCGTTCCTAACACTCGTCGGCAATCCTTTCCCACGCTTTAACGTGTCGCCCCCCTCGTCTGGTTTAAATTCTTCTTTTCAAACTCGAGCCGCGGCTTCCGGCTTGGCACGCGGAAACTAAACCGCTTTTTCGATCCGTGACAATTTTCGAATCTTTTGTCTTTGAATTAGAACACACATTCGATATATATTCGAGTTTGAAACTGTTTAAACTTTGTTTAAATATCGTAAAATTGTTGTATACGTAATCTACTAGGAAATTCGATCAGGAAATTTGATAAACGAAATCAAAATTAGAGGAAATATTCGTTATACAAATAGGAAATTGGTGTATTTGTATCTTCTTCGAATTCATGTAACGTGAACGAATCGAATCTGCCAATTGTTGTTTCATCTAAATTAATTTTTAACCAATGAATACGGAATATCATTCTCATAAAATGAATTTATCAATTGAAATTATATTTCCAGGATTATAAATCGCTATAACTTTTCCACCAATTCCAAACTGTCTGAAAAATTATTTCTTTCGTTTTTCGCATCGAAAGGAAATGTTCGAATAAAAATTTGGAAAAATACTTTTTTACAACTTTTCCATCGATCGAAACAGAAATCGAGTTATCCATTTTTTTTTTATCGAAATTTTAATAAATCTGAAATGAAATTTTCAGATGAAAGTTTTGAAAATGAATTTATTGAAAAATTTCAAATATAATCGCGATTCGACCGGGATTATAATTGAGCCGACGAGCGGAACCAGGAGTTTTTACCGCTGAATAATTTTCAGCTCGTGCGTCGTTTGTATACGTCATGCATCCGGGAACCTGTTTAGAAGTTTCACTCCGCTTCTTTCTCTCCTCTCCTCTGACAAATCGACCGTTTTAAAGCGGCTGTCTCTCGCTCACGTACCACGCGGCTACCGGCCCATGAGCAGCCACCATTTTGTGAAAAAAATTATCGCGAACTTCCGACGCTCTAACAGTCGACTCGTGTTAAAAACATAATTAAATCGATCGGGTTATTCCTCGATCAATTGTACAATAGGCACGAAATTCTTTTTTTTTTTTTCTATTCACGAATTCCAATAACAAGATATAAATTTTGCCTCTCTGGATGAAAAAATTTTATTTTGGAAAAAACGATTATTTTTCGTCGATTTTTCTTTAAATTTACGATTAATTCTAATTTTAGAAGAAATGAAAAAAGAAACTCGCGGCGAGAAACAGCCGTCATTCACATCCTTCCCTTCCCTCTTTTTTATTAAGTCTATATAACAATCTACAAGTTATCTACACACTCGATGCCTCTTGCGCCATGCCTCAAAAACGCCCGTTTAGATTTAGCTCTGAACAACATGTTAATAAACACCTAATGGTCCGATACAGGAGGAGCGTTCGCGTTTTCTGCTAGCTTATTTTAATTACACGGTAAATTAGCGCTTGTCATTTACAGACTCACTACGATGCTTCCTTTATACACGCGTTGTATTCGTTCGAGGATCCGGTGTCTCTTAATTCTTAACGAAAAACTTAAGACTCGAGGGGAACGGGATTTCTTTATAAAGATTATATAACCGCGAGAAGAATTTCCAAGGATTTCTAAAATTTCAAAAATTCGTGTTGATACAATACCGAGAAAAAAAAAATAATAATTTCGAACGTATCCTCGATACACGTATTTCCTCCTTTTAAACTGGGTCATCGAGAGGCGATTCCTTCGAGCGCGAGAAGAAAATGCCTCGCGCGATTCTAATGACCGTGGTCGTTTCGGGATCTCTTGCTTGCAATATCGTCGCTGATCCAGCAGCGAGGGGGTTAAAAGGGAGCCACGTGTTTGGATCCACGCCCATTCCCTGCATATGGGATCGGTCTTATTATTGACCACGTAGCCGCGCCGAACGGCCGTTTCGTCGATGCCACCCGCGTTATTGGGCGGCAATAAAGATCTCGGCGTCCTCCCGCGACAAAAATTGATCCCAGCCACGAGAGAAACGAGATGGCATTGTAGAAATCGGAATCGATTCAATTTGGCGTCGTAGAAGAAGAGAAACGGAGGAATCGATCGATAAGAGAAATTAAATTGATGTTAAATTAAAAAACGAGGATCAAAAGAAGGGGAGGAAGTAGGAAAGATGGAGAAACGCACGATCCTCGAATCCGCGGCAACGGATTTCTCAAACTTCTCAATATACTCGTTTGATCCACGAGGCACGAAGATTAGAGCCCCGTTGAACGAACTTCGCGACTTCGTTGATGATCGATCTCGAGGGCCGTCTCGCGCCCCCTTAAACGCTTCGCCTGAGGCGTTTCCTGAGGCGTTTCATTGCATCAGCTTTTTCTAGGCGTTCGAGAAAATTCGGTGGTCTCGACGGGGATCGGATGTGGGCCGTTGGTGTCACGAGGCGACCAGGCACGTGGACGCCGATCGAAACAGGGTGAGCAGCAGGAGTATTGCGACCAGCGGCAAGCTCGACGACCCCGACAGACACCCGACCTCGTTGCTGTACGGCAACTTGACCTCGACCTCGGCCATCTTGAAGATGGACAGTAACGGGTGCGTGTGGACCTCGTGGTGCTTGTTGTTTATCTTGTCGCTGAGGTCCTGCAGCATCGAGAAGCACTCCTCCTGTCGAACGTCAAGAATCTTTTAGCGATGTAACGAACAATAATGAACATGAATATGATTACAAGGAAAAGAAGAATTGCCAGGTGGTTCTATTTATAAATTTCTATCATGGTTCTAAATTTTATCTATGGTTCAGATATTGAAATATTGAACTCTGGATTCGTGAACATGATTAAATTGGATTAAACAATTGAAAGTACGAAATTAAACGATTCGTACGTTCACTAAATCTTGTTGTTGCTGTATTATTGATGTATCGATGAAACTTTGTGATCGATTGATCTTTGCTCGACAATTTACGCAAGAAACGTGGTATATTTTTCGTTAAATTACCATTTATTATTACACAATGTAATAATTTTGATGCGAAAATTATTAGAGGGACGTTGGAGGAAATGTTGAAGGATCCGTCGGCCATTACCGTAATGATTTAATTAAGCGGAACGGTAACACATTGGGGGGGCGGGAATCTCGCTTGTAATCAGAAATTAAATCACGCCGCGTAATATCGTCAAGACCTGAAAATTTCACCGTCTTTTGTCCTCCCCCGTTCCCATTGTACGTCCCGACGCGGCCCGACGCCGTCCACCGTTGCGGCTATTTCAGATAACAAGTGCTAATTTTTCCACCGTTGCCCTTAAGCCGCGGCGCGGCCTCCTCACCGCACGGCAAATTATACTAAATTAACAATAACAGGATCCCTTTGTCCGCGGCCCGGATCCGCTTATAAAACACAGCGCTCACTCGGTTTATTACTTTGCGCAAACTAGTTTTGCGAACGTTCGCCGCCATCGTTACTCTCATTTGCGTTAACGAGAGCCGAGCCCCTGTTCTTCGAAAATGAAAAGGATTTTGCGCGGAAAAATATCGAATAATAACGTTAAGGGGGATAAGTTTGTACAGTTTCGAATATCGGCGGGGTATAAAACGTTTAAACACTTCTTGGATTAATTCGATCGATCAAATCAGCAAAGTTTTTTCAATCTTAAAAGTTTGTGAAATTTGTAAAAATAAATTTTTAAAATTTAAGAATATCGTTGAATTCAAACGATATAGCATTCGAACAAATAAAAATAATAATTTTCAAATCAAAAATAATAAGTGTGCTTAACAATTGAGTTCTATTAAAAAAGGTAATTTTTAATCGTTTACTATTTCAGGTTTTATCCCTTATTTCTCTCGCTCACTAATCTACCTCAAATTGCAGATTTTTGGGAAAAGAAAAACACGATTCTGGAAGGACGTAGTATTTCCAGGAGCAATGCAGATCGAGTAAATAATCTCTGGCTGTGTTAAATAGCATGGATTTTAAAGACTTATATCTCCAACCAACCCAATTGAAATATCGGGATGAAAAGAAAGGGATGAAAAAGGAATTCAATGGTTTCCTCCATCTGTTCTGATCGAATCATTAGCGATTACAAAGGTCTGTTGTTCGACAAAGTATACAGAGACTCAAATTTATTTAATAGCCCTTAATTTCGAGTATAAAAGAAAGCACGGTTTTAATTAAATCGAAACTTCTTCGCAATTTAATCAATAGGATATCGAGCCTCGCTTTCAAAATTTAAAAGTTCGTAAAAGTTTCTATTATCTTTCACTATTCCAATATTGCGCTTCACAGCCATAACCTTCACCATTGATAATCGAAATTATTCCTGATCTAATTATTCATTCCACGACGAGATTACAAACACACCCGAAATAAAACCACACGAGATAGATCTTATCATGGAGATTCTCAGCGAAAGGGAGCATCTTTCTTAACGCGATTTTAATTCACCCCGATCTTCGAGGGAATAATTAAAACTCAGTTTCAAGGTCATGGTCGCGCTTAACTCAAAAGTGCGCTCGCGAGCACGACCGTAAAGTTTTTCCACCCCCCAAGGGGGACGAGAAAACCACCCTCCCTTCGAACGTTTCCTTCGGGGAAACCGTCGATATCGGCTTAACGACGCCGAATGTAACTCGTTCTCCGTCCCTCTCTCCGCGCCCGAATCGATTTCCATTTCATCCCCCGTATCATTTTCTATCTTTCCCTCATCCCTTCATCCCTTTCTCCGTCTCACATCCTTGTCCACCCGCCCCTTTCTCCTCCCGTCTCCTCCTCCCCCTCCTCCTTTTCGCCTTCCTCCTTGTTCCTCGCTCTCGCCCTCCCCCTTCTTCCCCCGAAATTACCCTCGACTCGTTGAATCTTTAATTTCCGGCGGAAGGCGAGGCCGAGGCCACGAACGATTTTTGGCGATATTTTCCGAGGACACCAGGCTGCGCACCAACCGTCCTCCTCCACGCTATGGCGCCACGTGGCCCGACCAGCGGACTCGTCCCACCAAATCCCACGACGTCACCCCGACTGTCCTCCTCCTCCTGCTGCTGCTGTAGTACCAGCAGAAGGTACGTTCGTTTTTGCCTCGAAGCATCGACGTCCGATTTTCAATGAAATTAAATTCCACCATCCGAGAGGAGAGAGAGAGAGAGGACCATCCACCGCCTACCGACCGTCCTTCGACCCTTCTTCCTTGCAACACCCTTTCCTGAATAAATTTTCAGGAGAGAACGGAGCTTGCTCTTTCTAAATTATCGATGCAATTGGGAATTCGTCCTAATTTCTGACAATTTCCACGCGTATCGATCCGTATCTATATCTTTTTCTTTCCTCTCGTTCTTCGTGAATAATTTTAACGCGTAATTAATTAATTAATTACGCATTCTCTTTTATTAGATATTCTTTTCTTTTTCCTTATCGATTTTTGAAGATAATTTTTTTTCTCGCTTCCGTTTTTCTTTTTTCGTTTCTTTTTTTTTTTCTTTTTTTTTTTTTTTTTTGATACTTCCATACCACCGTACGGCTATCGGATTTCTGATGGGATAAAATTCGATACCTACAACGGTTTAGCCTCGTCAAAATCTCGAGCGTGAAACGAGAAGCATATACAGTCAGTCGCAAAAATTCTTTTTATATTTTATTTATGGCGAGTTCGATTATTAATAGTTTTATACAATTTTTTCTTTTTTTTTAATTAATATTATTTCGGGGGACAGTGAAATCGATCCGTCGACATTTCGATATTATTCTTTAAAATAAAATTTCGTAATGACGATGCGAGATGGGACAAAATTTTAAATTATAAAATATTCAAATTTTAATGCTCCGTATTACTCTGTATTTTTGTAAAAAAAAAAAATATTTTCAGGCAAAATTATACACGAAAAAAGTTTTAAAATTAAAACTGATCTTTGATTGAGAAATAAATTGCTCTGGGTATAATCATGCGCACGAATTTTCATTAAAATCAGATTCTTTTTTTTTCTCTCTGGAAATAGATGAATTTCCAATTGTAGAAGACTTTCTACGTGACTTATATTATTATCTAATGGCTTTATTTCTTCTCTAAAATAAAAATTTTATTTTCCAGGCTTATTAATTTAAATCTCGCGTCATCATTCGTTTATGGAGAATCGTCTGTTGCCGTTGCTCGATTCCCCGTGTAATTGAATAAGCCACCACTGTAGATATAATATACGCGGTCGAAGCCCAGCACGATAACTCGTTTTATACATTGGCCAACGCTAATTGCAGCGTGTTGCGGCTTAATTATCGAATATGGGACCAGACCGCGGGCTTTCCTCTCCCCTATCCCTGCCCAATATCTTCCAAATTACCCCTTTTATCGACCAAAAAGTATATCGCAATAATTAATGCAACTTCTCCCCCGCTGCAACGATGGAATACTTTCAATCCCAGCATTCGACGGTAATTGCAAATAAATTGCACAGCTCTGAGAAATATCACAACGAATTTTGTATTGTACGTAATTTATTATATCCGATTCTTCCCTTTTTTTTTTGTGATTTATTCAAATCAATAAGAGAAGAATTTGGTAGAGTAATAATCAGCCTATGATTGAAACAATGACACTTGAATAAATTTAATTTATGAGATTCGTCGAGTTTCACGAAGGATATGTAAAAATGGACATCTCTTTTAGTCAAGAATAAATAGTGTTCTCGGTTCGGTTCTCGGTTAATGATATTCTTCGGGGGTTGGTTACCCCTTAAGAGTAACGCACGAATTTGTGCAGGAACAGCGCCAATCAAACGAGGAAGAATCGAGGCGGGTTATTCGCCTCGTCTAGAATGTCGTTTAGAATTTACTCGCGAAACGTTGAAGGGGTGTGAGCGTTCGTAAATAAGAAGAAGATTTATGGAGTTGAAGGCGAGGAGGATAAATGAGAAGAGGGTAGGATAGCAAAAAACTAGCCGAGGGTAGCAAGAATTAAAAGAAAGAAATATTGGAAAGTATCCGTGGAAAGCTATTGGGGGAGGGGCGTGGAAGATCGAGAGAAAGAGGGATTCGAAGATAATTATTCAATGAAAAATCCAGGCGACTATTGTTCAGATTATAAGATATTAAACAAGACTGGGTGTTATTACAATGAATTCTTATTCTTAGTAAAACTTTTCTTCATTTCTTATTCTTACTCTTTAAAAAATAAATTACTCTTTTACTTACGCATCGATCCAAGCTAAACTTTTCATTTCGATAATTCAACAAAAAAATATATCCAATCTTGTTTAGAAGAAAGGGTAAAGGATAAAAAAAAATAATAAAACTTAAATTTTTCGTTAAAATCATTTATTACAAACAATAATAATACAAATAACAAACATACAATAAATATCAAATATTTTTTAAATCATAAGTAACACGAATCTTCGGATTTTGTCTTCTTGAAGATCGTAAAAATATGGTCTTTCAGTTGTCTTCAAAATTATTATCCTGTGTCCGAAAGATTGTATAGGAGTTACTTCTTTGTCTGTTGGGGGTTGGAAAGTTTCGAGGAATTAACTTCTTTGCTCCTAAGGGGTAGAGGGAGAGATTCTTCCACGGTGAACAAATAAAGATTGCGAGTTGGAACATGGAGAATTTAAAGGGCAGCTGGAACGATCGATAAAAAAAATTCGTGGTGTCGCTTCGAACGGGTAAGTTGGAAATAGCA